AAACGAAAGTTCCCTCTAACCTTCGAGATTTGGGCTGTTTTGACGTTTGGTGGCCTTGGAATTGGCCCATTGTCATAAATCGCATTTCCATCAAAACCGTGTCTCAAACAGCTTTCCTGCGTCACTATCGAGTCTCGTGCTCGCAGCATTTGCATCTGTGACAATACAGTCTTCCCCCTCCCCCCCCCCCCCCCCCCCCCCCCACCTCCCGGGCACTAGGCTGGAACCCCGGACACGCTGGAATTGAATAGATTGGTATGAGTACTGCTCTCAGACTTTAACGCATGAAAAGGTAGGAAATCTTATATTAGATAATCCCGAACGAAGATACATTTACGTTCCAGGTTCGGCGGTATTATTGACTAATTTCTGGGAATTATTTTTCCATTTGTGGCGTCGATTCTCGTCTGCCAATTAAAAAGGCGAACTTTTTGAGGAAATGCCGTGGCTCATCAGGCAGCCGATCCTGATGATATTGATCCACCTACGGGAATGTTTCGCTGTCTGTTGGTATACGCTGAAGTTGTGTGCGTGAATCAGAAGAGCGACCACGAGCGACCCGGGCTGGGCACAGGTATTTATCCCGACAAATGTGACAGTGTTTGTCACATTTGGCACAACATTTGTTCACACACGTTTTGTTATTTGTTTCCTGCAGTATGCGGCCGTGGAACAGTTAAAAATATGTTTGAAATATATTTTGTGTTGTTTTTCGTGTTGGTGCAAACTTATATTTTGTGGTATATTACATGCAACATTTGCTGCACGCGTCGTTTTCTTGTACCTTGTTCCACTACTTTTTTGTCACACCATCATAATGATCAGCCTCGGCGTACCTAGGAATGAGCGGCATATCCCGTGCCCAACTGAGGACAGGCCGCCATGCACAACCGGCTGGTGGATTAGAAGTTCGTTTCACTTTCTAACCTTCAAACTAACTGACTCTTGGTGCAGTTTGTTTCACTAGTTGATTCTGCAAGAGAAGAAACGTTCTTAGACAAACACCGGATGGCCTTGTTCGTTTTTTGACTCATTCCGATCCACCCCATTCAGTACTAATGAGATCCCTTATTTCTTTCCTGGACCGATCCAGAAGCCCTGAGAGGGGTATCATGCCATATTGGTCTTCTCCCTGACGTGGGAGGCCTCCTGACCTACATAGTTGACACCGGATCGACGCAGGAACCCTCATTGACGCAGCAATGTCCCTGATCGCCCCAGGCAGTCCAATGATTGGCACAAAGCCGCCAGTTCGGTTTAACGAGCCGATGGTCATTGACCCGGATCCCTACGATTTTGTTCAAATTTCGTTCACAGATAGTGCCTTGTGAGCTGGTAACGACGTATCAGCCATATCCCATCACGTTGAAAATTTTGACCTTTAGAGACAGACAAAGTTTTATGTCATTGACCCAGACCCTTACGATTTGGTTTAAACTGCGCACACAGATAGCGGTTTTCAAAACGGTTTGCTGCAGCGCGATCAACGAATTGAGTACTCCTTATAGGTATGCTTCTAGCCAAATTGTAGGGATCCCAGGCCGATGACCTGGATCAGTATAAACCTTTGTAGGTCAAGGTTTTCAGGTTAACAGGATACGGTCTGTACTGTTATCATCAGCTTATTGAGTACTATCTGTGTGCACCCTTTTATAAGAACCATAGGGGTCCGAGAGTGAACGAATCCGGATCTGAAGAATTGAATCGGAATACGGCGGACACACTTTTGCCTCTAAAACGTGTGTATGTTTTGGCGGAGGTCGGCCGCCATACATACCCAACTGGGAGGATGTTAACGTCTTCCCAAGTTCCACATGATTAGCCGGATGGTAAAATAAAGAGCACCGTACGAGCAAAGTGACGATCAGAGCTCAAGGGGCACATCATTTTCTAGTTTTGATCAATATTTCGTTCATGTTATGGCCATGGATTCCACGGCGCCGGCTGATTCCGACGGCCGGCGGTAGACGGCCGGCGGCAGGTCAGACAGTCGGCGGAAACTTATTTCAGTTTTCTTGTTTCTTAAAGAATCTGCAACGGTAGAGGGTGACTAATATCGTTCTTTGGGCACTATTCTACATGCGTGGTGTTAAAAAAGAATCTGTGAAAAGATGCACATAAAATACTCAACTTGGCCTAAGGTTGGCCTAACTTCAGGTCGGCTACTAAGCGAGTTCCGAAAAATCTGACATCGCAGATCTGTACATCCTGAAGTGAATACATGTATGTAATTCCTAAGTATCGATATCTTGTTTTCCCAAAAAGTTACGGGAGTATAATATTCTTCGAACACTGGACCCCGTGACCTGATCTAAGTCAGTGACCTGACCTTCGTATAGTCAAATATTTGACACAACATCTGAAAAGATCAAGGAAAATGTGCTAAGTATTTCGTTCCGCTGAATTTTTCGTTTTTTTCCTCTGCCCTCGATAAAGCTGGAGGGGAAATGTCAACAACCTCTCAGCCGGTTAAGAGTTGTTGTTAATCAGGGTTTTTGGGCGCGCCGACTGCATAGGTCATATTGCGCCCCGGTTTAGAGTTAATGTGACACAAAACGGTTTGCTGCAGCGTGATCGGTGCATTGGTTGCTCAACGCATATATGTCTTAGCTAAATCGCAAAGGTCCGAGGTCACTGAACTGGAACTGTGCTGGCCTTTGTGGGTTATATTGCCATATGACGTGGTATAATTTTAACTATCGTGATCAGCTCCCTGAGCACTATCTTCGCGCGAGTTTTTAAAGAAATCATAAGGGGCCCAGGCGATGGACGAACACGAATCTGAAAAATTCAGTGTAACTACGGAGGATACACTTTCACCTCTAGAGGCTCATTTTTCAGTGTGGTGGAAAACACTTCAGTTGGAAGAAACAGTTGCATGGTAATCAGCGCATAAGGTGCTGTCTGTATCAACAGTTTTAATAAAAGTGGTCATACTGTTAGGCGAACGCGTTTTTGAAGCAATGATGTGAACCTAATGAACACTCTTCTCGCTCTAGAAGTTTAAATTTCTCAATGTGACGCAAATGCCTTTGGTGCAGCGTGATTGGCGCATTGAGTGGCCCCTATACTCATGATTTTAGCCAAATCACGGGGTCCGAGGTCACTGACCTGGACCTGTGGAGACCTTTGTATGTCAAAGTCTTCAGTGTGACAGGACACAGTTCACACCATTGTGATCAGCTCATTGAGCACTATTTGTGCGCGAGTTTTTAGACCAACAAAACGGGTCCGATAACCGACGAATCTGAACATGATAAATTAAATGTGAAAACGGCGGGCACGCTTGGCTCTAGAAAGCTTTCTTCAAGGTGACGCCAAAGCTTTTGCTGTAGCATGATCATCACATCGAGTACTCCCTGCACGCATCTTTTCAGCTAAATCGTATGGTTCTGGGTAATGGACGAATCCGAATCTGGGGTTTGGACGTGAACATGGCGAACAGTCTTGTCCCTACACGGCTCATTTTGCAATGTGACGCAAGGCATTTTGCTTCAGCGTAATTAGTCACTCAAACGCTCCCTGCAGGTATGCTTTTAGCTAAATTGTAGGGGTGCGGGCAATTGGCGCAATCCTAAGCTGAGGTTTGAATGTAAAGATGACGGACACACTTTTGGATCTAGAAGGCTCATTTTTCAGTGCGACGTAGAACAGTTTCCTGCAGCGTCATCAGCGCATCGAGTACTGTTCGCATGGATGTTTTTGGCCGAATCGTATACGTTCGAGTAATGGACGAATGCGAGGTTCATTTTTCAATGCGGCACAAAACGGTTTGCTGCCGCGTGAGTGGTGGATCGAACACTGCCTGGATATATGTTTTTAGTTAAATTGTAGGGGTCCGTGTAATCGGCGTAGTCCAAACCTGAGGTTTGAACGTGAATACGGCGAACACTCTTGGGCCTAGAAAGCTCAGCTGTTCAATGCGACGAGAAACGTTTTGCTGCAGCGTGATCAGAGCATTGAGTACTCCTTGCAAGTAAGTTTGTAGCTAAATTGATATAGGTCAGGTAATGGACAAGTCCGAATATTCGTCCGCATCAAGTACTACTCGCATGTATGTAATTTTCGTCAAAATAAACGTCTAAGATTTGAATGTGAATACGGCAAACACACGAGCCTCTGGACGGCTCATTTTTTAATATGACACAAAACGGTTTGCTGCAGCGTGATCAGCGCATTGAGCGCTCTGTGTATGTATGTTTTTACCCAAATTGTTGTGGTCCGAGTTAAACAAAAGCGTGGGGGGTCCAGGTCAATGACCTTTAACTTCGACTGCCTCTGGAAGCCAAAGATTTCAATGTGATGGGAATGATTTATACGACATTGTCTGCTCAGTAACCCACTTGTGAGCAAAATTTAAGCCAAATCGTAGGAGCCCGGGTTCGGATATTAATCTGAATGCAATTACGAATACGAAGGGACCTTTGGCTGCCTCTGGACGCCAACGTTTTCGATGTGATTATTTACAAGTGATACAACCGTTTTCAGCTTAGCAGGCAATGTGTGCGAAATTTGGGCAAAAGCGTAGGGGTCCAAGTCAATGACCAAGAACCTTGGCTGCCTCTGGAGGTCAAAGTTTTTAATGTGATAGGCCATGATTGGGACGCCGTTATCTGTTCAGTGACTCCTACTTGTGCGCGAAATTTGGGCGAAATCGAAAGCGTCCGGGTCCGAACGTGGGTCTGAATGTGAATGCAAATACGAAGCCGTCTTGAGAGACGTGTCTTCTGAACATAACGCAACTCGACGAAAATATTCATGTGCATTGGAAAGATGCTACTAACAAATTAAGGAAACAAAATATTATAGAGTCACATGAAATATTTTATTGTTTCACACTTCACAAGATAGACGCATATCGATAAAATCTTATTACGTGTGTAAAACGTCAGAACTTGCACCTTGGGCTATTGCGCGACGGCGACAAAACAGAAGCAGTTCCACGGGTTGCGGATCTGTTAGTTATTGAAGGGAGAATGGGTGGCATCAGTTGTAAACAAAGAATTTGGATATATTGTGTGCTTTGTAGTCTCGACAAGTGAAATGCCTTGTATATTCATGCATGCCCGTAAGATTTAAGGCCTTTTTTGATCGTATATCGCACTGCGCTTAGGTTGACGCCTGCATTCGTGCAAGTTGACACTGGTGCGCATTAGGTGGTCTCTGCGCCCAGTACAGTGCACAAAATCGGGCCATTTTCCAATTTGAGTAGAAAAAGTAGGTGGATACCCTGGGCTTTGGATATGTGTGCTTATTGGCCATGTGGCTCTTTTTTGTTGTAACTGGGTTGTGACTTGCATACATTTAGACTGACAAAACCAATGCTGTTGTGCGTCTACAAAAGCAGAGAAGACATAAGTACAGGATCTGACCATTTGTGGGCACAATTCATTGGTTATTTCTAGCTTTGACACCATTTGGTAGTAACTTTGAGATTTTTTGAGTTTTTGTGAGCATGACCCTGTTGGCTTGAGTGTGGCTGTGTATATACTTAGGTCCTAGGAAGTGACAGTCACTGTAATCAAATGTCCTATACAGCAATTTCAATGATTCCCTAAGAAGTCATGATGTATTAAACCAGAGTGTGGCATGTCTGCCTCGGGCCAACATGCATGACCGTGATTTTTCATTGCGCCATTGCCACTCATCAATTTTTTTCATCATATTTTTTTCAGCCGGGCTTGTTATTAGACAGTTGAAATCATTTTGCACCCAGCAGACTGGCTTTGGTACAAAAATCACCTTATGATGTAGATAATCATTCATGATATTCTATTTACCAATCAGTTTGTCTACTAAGGATGCTTTTACCTGTATACATGCCATGCAGTTTTTTCATTACACTAGCCATGGGCTGTTTCAGACCACATCCTTCCAACAGTGACATAAGGGATACTATGACTGGGCTGACTACTGTAAATTGCATATAAGTATTTTTTGCTTTGTTCCTGGACAGATCTGATTTGGAGAACTACACCATGCAGGTAAGAAAACAGTGTTGTATGCTCCTTTAACTTGGAAGTGTTTCCCTGCAGAGTTATGTAACATATTTGTATCTGGCACCACTATGGAATGCCATATTTGCTTTTAAAACTACTCCACACCAGGTTAAACTGCTTCAGCCAAAGCATGAACTGCACTGAGCCAATTGGAGCCAAGTGGCATGTACATATGGCATCTGGGCTCAGATTAACTTAATGCATTGCACTGTATGGTGTAGGTGTGTTCAAAGACCAGGCAATCAGTAGATATCATGTCTGCCTGTAACTTGTGGTCACTATTCACTAACACATAATACTGTAGTCCACATCTTTGTCTTATGTCTGTAGCTGAATCAGCACCCTGTCATGACCTTTAGTGTGATCTCATTACTAAAACCTCACCTTGTGGTCATGTTTTGGCCATGACAAGCACTGTGACATTCATTTCTCAGTGATGAGCTTATGTTCAGCACTCACAATATTGAATGTTCAGGGTAAGGCTCATAGTGGATGATAACTGCTCAATCCGTGTGGTCACAGCTGCTGTCCCATGACCACTGATTCTGGGCCTGGCCACTCAGATTTGCTGGGAACTTTCCACCAAGCCCCAGGGTATGTATTCCAACACAAGCCCAGGGCATGCAACAACACTGTCATGCTGCCTGACTGGGGTCTAATCTGCCTTGTGCCCCTCAGACAGCTGATCAGGGTCTGGTATCCTGTCCAGACCAGCCTGTGTGCTGCCTTGGCCAGCCTGAATGGGGTCTAATCTGCCTTGTTGTGCCCCTCAGACAGCTGATCAGGGTCTGGTATCCTGTCCAGACCAGCCTGTGTGCTGCCTTGGCCAGCCTGACTGGGGTCTGATCTGCCTTGTTTTGCCCCTCAGACAGCTGATCATGGTCTGGTATCCTGTCCATACCAGCCTGTGTGCTGCCTTGGCCAGCCTGACTGGGGTCTGATCTGCCATGTTGTGCCCCTGGGACAGCCGATCGGGGTCTGGTATGCCACCCAGACGGGCCTGTATGCCGCCTTGGCCGGCCTGACTGGCAAGTTCGCCGCCTCCTACAGCGAGGCGCACTGGCTCTGCCTGCTCGCCAGCAAGTTCCTCATGTTGACCGGCCTGGTGCAGCCGCAGCTGGGCTTCTGCGACCGGGTGAGACTATCTGGTGACGATCCGGGGCTCCATCCACGACCGGGTGAGACTGTCTGGTGACGATCCGGGGCTCCATCCATGACCGGGTAATACTGTCCGGTGACGAACCGGAACTCCATCCATGACCGGATGAGACTGTCCGGTGACGATCCGGAACTCCATCCATGACCAGGTGAGACTGTCCGGTGACAATCTGGAACTCCATCCATGACCGGGTTAAACTGTCCGGTGACGATACGGAACTCCATCCATGGCCTGGTGAGACTGTCCGGTGACGATCCGGAACTCCATCCATGACCGGGTGAGACTGTCCGGTGACGATCCGGAACTCCATCCATGACCGGATGAGACTGTCCGGTGACGATCCGGAACTCCATCCATGACCGGGTGAGACTGTCCGGTGACAATCTGGAACTCCATCCATGACCGGGTTAAACTGTCCGGTGACGATTCGGAACTCCATCCATGGCCTGGTGAGACTGTCCGGTGACGATCCGGAACTCCATCCATGACCGGGTGAGACTGTTCCGGTGGACGATCCGGAACTCCATCCATGACCAGGTGAGACTGTCTGGTGGCGATCCGGAACTCCATCCATGACCGGGTGAGACTGTCCGGTGACGATCCGGAACTCCATCCTTGACCGGGTGAGACTGCCCGGTGGCGATCCGGGACTCCATCCACGACCGGGTGAGACTGTCCGGTGACGATCCGGAACTCCATCCTTGACCGGGTGAGACTGTCCGGTGACGATCCGGGACTTCCATCCACGACCGGGTGAGACTGTCCGGTGACTGTTCCGGGGCTCCATCCATGACCGGGTGAGACTGTCCGGTGACGGCCGGGGCTCCATCCATGACCGGGGTGAGACTGTCCGATGACGATCCGGGGCTTCGTCGTTGACCGGGGGGATGAGCTGTCCGGTGACGATCCGGGCGTCCATCCACAAGCGGGGTGAGAATGTCCGATGACGATCCGGACCTCTGTCCACGGAACGCGTACCCACACCCCGACGCCTCAACATGTTGTGTCCCGTGGTGGCGTGGTGTATGCATCATGAAAGGGTAGCTCTTTGTTGGCTGCTAATTATTTGTGCTTTAAATATCTCACCCAGACATGCTGACGATGCCGGCGTGTTTGGGGTGAAGAGGATGGGATATGGAAATTAAAACATACCTAACAAGGATGCTGGAACATTGTGGGCATTTCGCCATATGCCATGTTTGCGCGTACACACATGCATATAGCTTTGATGCACGTTGTTGTACGTCATAGCTGCTTGCCAGCTCCAGCAAATCATTTTGCTGCACCTTCTGTGCTGTGTTGAGTTTCTGTTGAGCCAGATCTCTGTGTCTCGGTGGGCGTGTTGGCGGCGCAGCTGACATCAGTATGACATCGTCCGGTGGTGGTCGACAGCGCGTGATCGTGTTCCGCGTGGTCGCGTTCCTGCTGACCCTGCTGGTGAACGCTGCTGTGGACCTCCTTCACGAAGGCGCTGCGCCACTCGGCCTCCTCGTTGGAGGCCATCGTCATCACCACCGCCTCCAACATGCTGATCACGGCCGTCATCAGCCAGGTGAGCCGACCGCTGCCACGAGGCCTCTCCGTCATCGTGTTCGCTGCTGTTATGTCGCCTTGTTTGTGAGAGATGCGCTTAGGAGCCTGTAGTAGGCGCATGCGAAGTATGATACTTCTGGCTGGTAGTCGCGTCTTCGTCCTGGTGTGTATCGGACCGAACTGGTCGGTTGTTAAGCTATTCTCTGTGAGGCGCGGAACTTCCATGATGTGGCACTGACTGTCCGTACTACGAGGTCGGTGTGCGTGGGCTCCTTCTATCATTTGTGGATTACACGTCTGGCTTGCGCGATGTATGGTCTTGGCTGGTGCGGGCCACGGTGGTAATTCACATTATGTGGTTACCTGCGTTTTGGTTAGGTCCCACCGTGCTCGTCATCAGGTGGCGTTTGCTGGGACGCTGAGCTTGGAAGCTGTGCTGTCTCCAGCTGCCACGGCAGCAGCTTCGCCCGCGACCACTGCTTGTGGCGACGCTGTGCGTGCGGCTGCTCCCCTCCCCCCGCTTCCCGGACGCTTCGCATGCAGCTGTTGCCCGCTTCCCTGACGCCCGCCCACCCAGCAGCGCCGCTTGTCGACCGCTGCAGCTGTGTCGTGACGCTGACTCCAGCCCCGTCCGGCAGCTGCTGTTCGGCGAGACGCTGGGCGTGCTGTGGTGGTCGGGCCTCGTGCTGGTCGTGTTCGGCCTCGTGCTCATCCACGCGGTCGGT